CATACATATACATACATATACATCATATATATATATATATATATATATATATATATATATACATATAGGCTACATGTTGGCCTGCCGATTTGATTTATACATTATTTGTGTTGCCGGTGCTATGTATATTGTATGTATCTATATATAGAGTAGGCACCAATGCGATTACGTGCATACATATACATAAACATGCATAATCATGATGATAATAATAATAACGTTGAGGGTGATGATGCAGCCAAAGTAAAAACAACATTGTATTGCCTAACTGCAAAATCTAGGGTCAATTTTTGTGTATATAAATGTAAATTTAAGTTATAGTATAATAAGGCCTCTGTTTCCGATCATTGTGGTGAAGATTGTTGATGTTCATTATGAATTCTTACCTTCATATAAACCATAGATAAAAGCTTCGGCCAAAAATGCTCCTAAAATTTGCGCTAACACATATGTTATAACATCCTTTAGCTTCATTTTGCCCAAGATACCGAAGACTAGAGTCAGCGCCGCATTCAAATATCCAACTACAACAACAAAACGTAAACTGTCTTAAACGCATCCTTTTTACAAAATTAACATGCTAAAATATATTTAAAGTTACATAAAAATTTGTTATAATATTTTTTTTTTATTTATTCATTCTGAAGTAATTATAAGTAAAAACATTCAAGGATAAAAACACAGAAAAGTACAAAAAGCAACTTATTTCCACTGTGGTCCCAACCTTCAGAAACGATAACGAATACCAATACGTCCTCTCCATGACTAAAACATTTTTGACAATAGGCCTAGTCCTGCACATGCGATATGAATAGGATCATTGCTTCATTCATGTCGCTTGTCTGATGGGGTTTGGCGCAGTGGGAACAGTTTCCCAACGTCGAGCGTCGGGGTTCCATTGCCTCGCTATGCATTTCGCTTGTGTCCTTGAGGTTATTTGCATCGCTTCACCCAGGAGTATAAATAGGTACCTGGTGGGGTGGCCTGCTACTGCGACAATATGGCAGAAACACTTAAGCATGTGGACCCAATGACAAGGGAAAATCAAGTGCTTTGTAATATAAAGGAATAGGCGCGATCTAAATACTAAAAATAAAATTAACAATAATAACAATGTAAAAAACTATCACGTTTACAACGCAAAATCTTAGCGCATGCGCAGAAAGTACATGATTTTGGGCACAGCTGCGCAAGGTTGGCACGGCGGATTTACAGATATGCTACTGTAGGTGTGGGATTGACTACAATTTTGATGGCGTTATCGTATTCGTTATCGCTTTCGTAATTTTACGAAACCTCCATATTGAGCCATGTGTGTAAGATCAAACGAATACATTTTGCCAGATATTCTAATCATGGTTCTTAATATTCGGAAGAAAAGGGTTGTCTGGTGAAGGGGAACCAACCTATGATTGTTTCTTCTTTCATATATAACCTTCCGAGGTACCTTTCATCCAGACCCTGTGCCATTTATTTTTGTTGCAATATTTTTAATCCTTGATTTTGCTCTTTTTTGTGTAGTAAATTATTTATTTATTTTAAATCTGTCTATAGGCCTGAAGGATATTATTTTTTATGTTAGTTTAATTAATTGTCTTCTTTAATTCTCATTTCATTTCTTTAGGCACGAGCGCCAAGGATATGCCAATAAGTGAACTTAATCATTGTCTACGTGGCATATCCATTTAACAACAGGGGACTTAGTGGACCAGCACACCGTGTAACCCCCTACTTTACTCGAAGGACAGTACTAGGTTACTTAAAGTGCACACGAGCCAAATGCGTTCACTGGGCCTACGGTTTAAAGTCCTATCCGAGAAGACTGTTCCACCTCCGGAACCATTGGCGAGTGAGCTGTTCGAACCAGCGCCGATATTAGAGCTCAGCCAATCAACTCACCAAACGGTAAATCTCTTGATTTATTGTTTATTACAATTATTTTTTTTGTTTTTTTGTTTATTGTGTCACTTTTAGTATTTTCATTTTGTTAATTTTTTGTTTTAATTATATTTTTGTTCTATATTTTCAGATTTTTTTTTTTTTTTTTTTAAATATCTAGTTTTTTTTTTATACTTTTGTTTTTAATAGACCGAATCGGCGGCTCGGGTCACGTGACTTTATAGTGAGTATTAGGGGTTTTTTTTACATCTATTACTATCGAGATCACGAGACGACAGTGCATTGAATATGGTATGGCTTGGCGTTGTTGTTGATGTAAGTCACGTCATAGATGTTGCAAATGTTGGTTGGAATGCAAGTTATGATTTGGTAAATCACTTAGATGTGTTCCAAAGATAATTTTTCAAACACTTATCAGTTTGGTTTCGTAAGGCTCTAATGGATAGTAAGAATAAAGCTTGGAAGTTTTTCAAGGAAAAGTACGGTACCCTCACGACGTGCATATTGCTCAAGTCAGCGGATGTTTGTAGTTACTGCCGAGAATAATGATCATCATATGACATAACAAATATTATTATTATTATTATTACGGACACGAGCCTACTGGCATTAGGATGCACCATACCATTCCAGGCCTATTTTCACCAGCCTGTTTCCTAGACCAAGTCTGGTTGAGCAATCAGTACCGTTAAGGGTTATTTTCCACTTTCTACCTACACGACTACAGAGATATATATAGTCGAGGCATAACAACTCTTTCCCTGTCCCGGGCCCTGGTCAAGATACGGTACCTTCACGACGTGCATATTGATCCAGTCAGTGGAGTCGTCGCCGGCTGAGGTACTTTTTAGGCCTATGCCTAAGTATATTATTCATGGCAAATGCTATCGCAGGATAAAAAAAAACAATTCTCCCCAATCGTTGCAAGAGTATTATTTTACAGTTATTTTAAATCCAAAATTAAATCATAGGATGTTTGTATGTTACTGCCGAGGATAATGATCATCATATGACATATTATTATTACGTACTAGCATTATTAGGATGTACCATACCAACCAGGCTTATCATCTGATTATTATATTAGTCTAATGATTATATTAATTTTTGGAAAAAAGTTATTAAATTAAATCGTAAAAATTAGTCCTCATAGAATCTCTAGAGAATATGGTGTGAGCTAGCTGGGTATCTGTGACTTTTGGGTGAATTATTTAACCCTGAACTAATAAAAAAAAAATAAAGGATCGCCAGGCATGGAACACGACACGGGCGGTAACACACAGACAGAGACAAATTTAAATTTTTTAAAAGTACTATATACAGAACAAAGACATGGAGAGTTACCGTTTCTGTAACTCTTTTTCTTGGTGCTTGGCCCATCGTCGATGAGTCTGACCTTTCTGGCCTGGCACGCAGTCTTCACATAGGCCTATATTGTCATATAGTGTAACTGATGTGTAATTGTTACTATTTAATGTTACGAATACTTCATTCTTGATTAAGTTTGATGCTTTGTATAATTTTTATTCCAATGCAACTCAAAGTATAGCCTATGAGGCTTTTAAATAACACTTTTTAGTTGCAGCTGGTCGAAATACAATTGAATACTTTGTTGTAGGGTCAGAAATTTAGTTGATTGATTGTTTTTTGCGGACTTGGTAGCACCATGGTAGCACAAGCGTGGGAATTTATGGAAGAGTTTCAGCATGTAGGCCTATAGGGCATATTTGCGAAGATTGGTAGCACAAGTGTGAGAAATACCAGGTAAATTTAGTAGTCTCTTCCCCGTCCCATATCAATGTCGCATAATTTTTCACACGACGGATGTTAGCAAAGATTTTTTGCTAACTTCCGTGCTAAACCTTCGTTGATATATAGCCACGAACATACGGATCGCGAACAGACAGAACCGCGGTTTAATTTGGTAGGTTACATGGCCGTAATAGTAGTTCAACTGACACAGGATTTTGGTAAATGGTAGTTCAGTCCCTAATAATTTTCAGTAAAATAGGTAGCGCAAGGGTCTCATGTCTTGCAGTGGCTGCTGCACGCCCCCGTAACGTTGGTACACAAGTTACCCCTCCCCCCCCCCACAAAAAAACTAAAGTGGTGCAGTGCAAAACTAAAGTGGCGTAGTGCAAACTCAAAATGCCTGTGCCACCGCTTTAGTTTTGCACTGCGCCACTTGACTTTTGCACTGTGCCACTTGACTTTTTCACTGCGATTGTAGTTTGTCCTTTTCGCGATATCACGCCAAAAGGACAAACTACAATCGCAGTGCAAAAGTCAAGTGGCACAGTGGAACGCCAATTTGGCATTAAAATGGAAATTAACTAATGTTTACTAAGTAGGCCTATATTATTATTATTATTATTATTATTATTATTATTATTATTATTATTATTATTATTATTCAATATCTTGTGACACACCTCAAACTATATTTAGGCAAAGGTAAACTAAAACATTAATTGCATACACATTCGCAAAAGTATAGTGTAGCCCAAGAGAATGATTTTTTATTTCTTTTATTGAAGTGTTCTTCTGGAAATTAAATCCCACTTTAGTAGTATGTTCTATCTCCTTTTTAAATCACCATTTACACATGTAATTAAATAGGATCCAATTCCTCAATCATCTACATCAACAATTGGATACTGAAATACACAGGTTTAATATTTAATACTAATGAATTTAATGAGGATGTGATATTATGAGTATTGGTACAGTACGGTACGTATAGCCTTGTGTCCATTCACCTTGGTCATTAAATGTCTGAATAAATTTGATATTTTTGATGACGGAATACCATAATACTAATAGGCCTCCTACCACCACCACCACTGTGCCACTTTAGTTTTTCACTGTGTCACTTGACTTTTGCACTGCGCCACTTGTAATTTGTCCTTTTGGCGTTCCATAGCGTTCAGTTGCTTTCAGTTGCGCGGAGCGCTCATGTCGACGAGTTGAGTTGAGTTTCCTTTCAGTTCCGTGTCGACCTGAGCCTGCCTTAAAGGAAGAGACATTTACTGTATGTGACCCATGGAGGAAATACCGTATATTATTATATTATTATTTCCTCCATGGTAGGCCTAATTAAGCAGTTATCAACAACAAAACAACGTTGGCCAGCGCTGTGTTAGATCAGCAGCTACAAAGTCTCCACAGCGCTTCGTAACTGAAAAGAAAGGCGCTATGCAAGTAACAAGTACGGTATTCCCAGTCACAAGCTTGTTTTTATCTTTGTTTTGGTTGCGGTCGGAAGACTGCAGCGAAATACAGTAGGTTCAGCCATGGAGGAATTGGTTCAGCGAAGCAAGATTGCGCATGCGTTGGTAATGCATTCCGACACTGATAAATAATTCATAAATTTTTGCTCAACTTACCTACGATAAAAAGGCTTAACACTCACAGTGCGGCCTAGACCTATCCTAACTGTATGTCTAGCCTACCGTACACTAGCAGCATTCCAGAGCCTATAAATGCACTTAGATTGCCAAAGTAATTATAAATCACTATTTAAAAAGAAACATAGGCCTTTTACTTTACTTTGGGTCGCTGTCTAAAAAAACATCATAACTCTTTCAATATATACTG